GGGACGGGGGAGGGGACGGGGACAGCCCGGGGATGGGCATGGGGACACCTTGGGAATGGGGACGGGGACAGCCCGGGGATAGGGACGGGGACACCTTGGGAATGGGGACAGCCCGGGAAGGGGGACAGGGACACCTTGGGAATGGGGACGGGGACAGGGACAGCCCGGGGATGGGGACAAGGAGAAGGAACAGGGACAGCCCGGGAACAGGGAATGGGGACACCCCGGGAATGGGGACGGGGACAGCCCAGGAATGGGGACAGGGAGAAAGGACAGGGACGCCCTGGGAAGGGGGACAGCCCGGGAATGGGGACAGGGAGAAGGGACAGGGACAGCCTGGGAATGGGAATGGGGACAGCCCGGGAATGGGGACAGGGACACCCTGGGAACAGGGACATGGAGAAGGGCCATGGACACCCCGAGAACAGTGACATGTGGGCCATGGGGACATTCAGTCGGAGAGCCACTCCGTGCCTCAGTTTCCCCCGGTGAGAGCCCGGGCCGCTCCCGGCACCCTCGCAGCGCTCTCCGCGCCTCCGCTGCCACCCGGGCCGGGGTCCCGCTGAGCTGCGGCCGTGTCCCTCAGGTCCCGCTGGATCCTCCAGGTGGCCGCGGCGGTGTCGGTGGAGCCGGCGGCCATCAGCGTCACCCGGCGGAACTGCCGCCGCGGCGGCTCCGGCGCCGTCTGCCTCCGCGCCCGCCTCTGCTTCCGCGGGCGGAGCCGCGCCCCGAGCGCGCCCCCGGGGCTGGCTGTCGGTGAGTGCGGGCCCTGGGGGGCTGCAGGGTCCTGGGAGCAGCCCTGGCTGTGCTTGGAGCATCCCAGAGCATCCCAAAGGGTTCTGGGAGGGTCCTGGGAGCATCCCTGGCTGTGCTTGGAGCATCCCAGAGCATCCCAGAGCATCCCAAAGGCTCCTGGAGCATCCCAGAGCATCCCAAAGGGTTCTGGAAGGGTCCTGGGAGCATCCCTGGCTGTGCTTGGAACATCCCAGAGCATCCCAAAGGGTCCTGGAGCAGCCCTGGCTGGGTGGGGAGCACCCCAGAGCATCCCAAAGGGTCCTGGAGCACCCCAGAGCATCCCAGAGGCATCCCAGAGCCATCCCAAAGGGTCTTTGAGCTTCCCAGAGAGTCCTGGAAGTGTCCTTGGAGCATCCCTGGCTGTGCTTGGAGCATCCCAGAGTATCCCAAAGGGTCCTGGAGTCCCCCAGAGCCATCCCAGAGCATCCCAAAGGGTCTTGGAGCTTCCCAGAGGGTCCTGGAAGTGTCCTTGGAGCACCCCTGGCTGGGCGGGGAGCATCCCGGAGCATCCCAGAGCATCCCAAAGGGTCCTGGAGTCTGAGACTTTCTTGGGGTCTCTGAGACTTTTCTGGAGCCTCTGAGACTTTCCTGGGGTCTCTGAGACTTTCCTGGAGCTTCCCACAACATCCTGGAGCCTGAGACTTTCCTGCATCCTCTGAGAATTCCCTGGAGCCTCTGAGGGTTCTCTGGAATCCCACCGGTGCCACCCAGCGCGTCCCCGGAGCATCCCGGGGCTTCCCTGGGGTCCCTCCCGCCGGAGCAGCCGCTCCCGCCGCTGTCCGGCCGCTGAGCCGCCCCCTCTCCCGCAGATCTGCGCTACAACGTGTCCCTGGAGGAGCGGGTCCCGGGATCCCGAGCTGCCTTCGACTCCGGCGCCCGCCGGCTGCTGCAGCGCCGCGCGGAGCTGCGGCTGGGCGGGCAGAGCTGCGCCCGCGTCCCCTTCCACGTCCTGGTGAGCCCCGGGGCTCCCCCCGGCCCCACCGCGGGGGTCCCAGCGCCGTGGGGCTGACGGGACCCCCCGGTTGTGCAGGACACCTCGGATTACCTGCGGCCCCTGAGCCTCAGCCTCAGCTGGGCGCTGGGGGCGGCCGCCGGCTCGGTGCTGGATGAGGCGGCTCCCACCTCGCTCCGCAAACTGGTGCGTACTGGGACGGGGGGGCCGGGGCGCTGGGATCGCCCCCGGGCGCTGGGGTCACACTGGGATCACACTGGGATCACACTGGGATCGCCCCTGGGCACTGGGATCACCCCTGCTCACTGGGGGGACACTGGGATCACCCCTGGGAAC